ACAGACGCACACACAGACAACCCCTCGTCAATATGCGTTTTCTGCATTGCATAGCTGCAAAAAACGTATAAAAAGGATCAGAATGGGAGGGAAAGGGGAGAAGATACAGACAGAGGAAAAAGTTTAAAGACGAATAAATAAATGGAAGAAATGTAAATGAATAACATACGTCTGAAACGCCATAACCATCATGAACATAAGGACGGAGTCAGCGAGTGCTTGTAAAATGACTCGTTCAGCGCTGGATGTATTAATGCGTGTCAGCAATTCATCCTCCATCAGCTTGCTAGCAAAAATACTCAGAAGAACCGCAATAAATTCGGCAGCACAAGGCCGTAATATGTTGCTGAGGCAGCGCCCTCTCTAAAACTTATCCGTAAGCGAAGGAAAAAAATATCCCCTACCTTAAACCTAATTTCTCTTGTTTTTGATTCTGACCCAGGGAGACCAAGTCTAAGTAGGCCGCCAGTATGGGTATCACCTGCTAGTGATATTACTGGGATATTCTTACAAGCCGAACATAATTTCGATCCTAGACTGCATACCTTCAATGAGCACCTATCATATGTTCAGTTTATATGCGCGGCCTTTTTACAGGTCACCGAATGCTTGTCTTTTTTTTTTTCGATTTTTTCCTACTCACTAATGCGCAACGCTCACCGATTGTTAGCCATACTGAATACGAAACAAAATAATAATTTAGCTGAATTATTACATTTTGGTCCATAAAGCAGCATATTAGCTCAGCATCACAACTGAAACTGATCAATGCAATGATTGTGGCATAAATTATCACACAAATAAAAGCTAGGAGTTACTAAGATGAGAGAGCGAGAAAGAAAATATAGAAAACAGGTAGGAACAAAAGAAGAGGAATTAATCGATTTCAGTTTTCACTTGAAGAGGCTCAATCGTCAGCGCAAAATTTAGGGTTGGATCTATTGAACTTACAACTATTTAATTGTTGGCGAATGAAAACTGAAAAATTTTGCCATTTTACTGCTCTTTATGACACAGTTTCTCTTGTCTGGATACAGCTTTCAAAATACTGAACATCTCTAACACGTCCAGGAAACGTACTTTCTCGTGCGATTGGTCGCACTGGTACTGGGCGCTGCTCGACGTGCAATAATCTGCGCTATAATTATTACTGCTGTTTTTCAGGATACTCTTCATTTCACATTCTGAGCTACGCGCAAGTGAACCAGAAAGTTGCTCGTCGTGCGGCAGCCTCACTGCACTGTGCTGCAGCTTTCCATTTGCCACCCAGTGATAATCCTTCTTTGGCGCACTTTTCGGTGACTTAAGCAGCGAAGAGCTGCAGTCGAGATCATCGTAGTACATCGAATAATCCATCAATTCAGTACTTCTAGAAAGTAAATTCGGATGAAACAAGAAGGAATCAGTGCAAATCCTCAGAAATCGATGTTGAGACGAACTTGGTGCAGCACCATAAGTTGCTTTATTAGTTGATAAAAAGAGCTTGAAGTGCTGAAAAGTTAACAGACATCCGGGATACTAATTAGGGCTGAAATGTTTTTGGCTTAATTAAGGCCCAGCAAGCTAAAGAGCGTAGGGCATGAAACAGGGTATGTAAGCAAGAAAAAACTTAACATATCTACAGTGATAATATTAATAATAATGGAAAATATAATTGTAGTAATGGTGGCAACAAACAACAATAGTAGCCGAAGTAATAATAATAATAATAATAATAATAATAATAATAATGACAAAGTTATTAGTAATACTAATAAGGATAAGTACTGGAAAGCAGTAGTGAGATAGAAGTACTTTGGTTACGAGCGCACACTGGTATGATTAATTGGGCTATCAGTGTGGAGTTTTCAAAGTGAATTTTATCAAAAATACTAAAAATTTCAATCTTTACTATTTTCAATATGTTTCGTAATTAAATGGTATCGACTCCTTGAATAGCGCTTATAATTACGCTTAAATCAAATAAGTCACTTAGCATTTAATATTAAATGTGAGAGAGCGTCCCAGTAACATCGGTGAAAGAAGATATCCATTACTGATACCCCAGCTGTGTTGGTCTTACATAAATGTTATCAAAAAAGAATATAAATTTTTTCCATCCAACGCCTGCGTTGACCCTTTACTGGGGATTTCTTCGAAATCCATCACAGCAACCTTTTTAAAATGCAGCTTGCCCTCATTTAAACATCCTCTTCATTTACTGCGTGACCAACGTTTTATTCTCTCCGATCTCCCCTATCGCAAAAAACTCTTCGCGACGCTTGCAGGTTTTTTTGATGAAATCTTGTTTACCAGTACTTGTGCCCTTGCTTTTGCACGTCCTTTTGCTTAGAGAATGATTGCAAATGAGTACGATATTCTTTGCTATATGAGCAATATATGACAACAAGTATACTGCGGCTTTACTGACGTTACTGTGATACTCCTACAAGTCATGCCTGGCTCTGCGATTCTTGGCTGCACAACTTCAGTTAGTACTCACAGCCTGTTCGATGTGTGTTCACTATCTTTTCAGGGCCAAATGAGTGGCCATTTTCTGTCTAAATTTAGTAATAATAATTCAGTGAACAATAATTAAACGGATTTTTTTTTGCAAAAAGTAATTTAGCGGACACTTGTTATCTAACCAAAGCAAGCAAAAATTTAATTGGTAAATATTGTTGGAGCAGAAGATTAGTAATAAGCAAATAGCTCAGGGAAAGCATTCGTGAAAAGCCGGATCTGTTTGGCTGACTGGCTGGAATTGTGGATTGCGGAATAGGAAGCAAAGCGCAAATGTGAATGCTCTCCGGGTAAAGCATATGTTCCTCGTAAAGGTTGCTGACCACAGAGGGTAGAGGAATGCCGGCTGAGGGGTCCGCTGTAATAATCACTAACAGCATAAACTTCCTATCGAGATCACTGGATTTTTCAAGATAGACAGATAGATTAAAATTCATTGCTGCAACTTCGCCTGCCCTCTTTGAGAAGTGCCAAATTTGTGAAATTGTCGAATTTCTCAAAAACTGTTGTTAGCAGCAATGGATGGCCGGCTATTGAAGCCAGATATTTTGTAAAGCGCCGAGCAGCTGTCTTTAGTGCTTCCATAACAATTGGTTTTAACTATTTTGTGTGATTTTTATCTCTGCAGTTTACAAAGGTCGTCCCGGCATCGATGTGGAGCTCTCAGTACTTGCGAGGAGGGACGCTAAGCGTAGAAGGCCAAAAATTTTTGTCCCGGACCAAATACTGCAATTTAATACTTCCATTTCCAACACCTATACACCCATCTGTCAAATACGACCGCAAATTCTTTTCATCTCTTACTCTTTTCACACTGTAATTTTTTAAATTAATAAATGTACATTCTGCGCGAAACGATTGGGAGACGTGCCAACGCTACATGCCAACGCTTTATGCCTAGCAAATATTTGATTTATAATTTCTATGCTTTCCATTTGGACATTTACAGTAAGCAAAAGTTGTCCGTATAATGGATTCGGAATTTCTGAATTCTGATCTTTCGCAAAAGGTGAGTAAGAATCGGCTTTTAATTACTATTATTTGTTAACCCATAATTACAACCACAAATATCAACAATGCCAAAAACGCTCTGGCAATTAATGTGAATGTTCCTCGTCAACAATGTTACTTGGATGCTCTCACATGTCAGGATCATAAGTATGGATTTTTATCTGAAATCCCAGGACGAAGAAGACAATGATTCTCAAATTCTATAATTTGCATGAGTTGAAACAGCTAGTTAATCATCATAAGAAAAAATGCTGTTAGGGGCAAGTGTAAGATTGGCCGAACCAATATACCTATCCGCAGTTGTGATGTAAACGAGACGGTTCGACATACTGGCACTGATGAAAAGCACATGTTGCGAAAAACGCATTTTTGCACCAGCCGTCTGACATGCACTACTATTTACTATTTTTAATTTTCTAAGTTTTTAGTATTTTTTAATTTTTGGATTTCAGTTTTTCAAAAGGCACCGCCTGATATTTTGCCACACTAATTAATTTGATCATTTAGATGCTGCAGAATACTAAAGCACCTCAGATTCAGTGTTCTGTATACACTTCAATAATAATACGTATAAATCAAAACATGTGTTGCTGAACTTGGTTTATTTTTGGAACAAATACGTCAAAGATAGTAAAGCGTTTTGTTTTGAGATTTAACCCGATCGATTTAGAATCGTCAAATCACATCCCACAGTAAACAGTGAAATACGAGGGATGTGCTGACACTTTCATACATCTCTTCTCGGCTTGTGTTCTTTCATATTCCAGACAGTATTATCCATTCAGTTCGGCTTGCCCCATCGGTTTCAGATTTGTGGATATCTGCAACGCTAGTGCACTCATTAAAATGTGGATATCTGCAACACTAGTGCGCCTGTAAACCGGCAAAAGTGGATAAAAGCAGTGCCCGAAAAATTGGTACTTACACTATTCCATACTGCAGTCAAAATCTCGTTCTAAGAGGTGCAAATTTATGAGTCGCAAAATCAGGTAGCCGGACAGTGAGATTTGAAACGAGTAGGGTAGAAGGGAAGAAGAAAGCTGGCAGGGTGTCTGAAAGAGAAACGCTAACAGAAGCTTGATGAAACATCTCAGTAGGCTATATAATTTCTGTTTCACCTTGAATGGGCAACCAGTGCTCTTTTTAATATCCTCCACTGTCAGATCTTCGCGTTTTTCGATCAAGGTCAGTCCGTCAGTTTTACTTACATCAAAAACTGCCTGAAACTTTTCAATATAAGTACAAAAATAGCATAAAGATGACGAACTGTGCCGAAATTCGGTGAGCGCAAAGATGTTCCGGATTTGAAAAATTTATTCGTGCTCCTTCCTCACTCAAAAGTCAAAAAAGTACCAACCTTTTCTGCTTTTATTTAGTACTTTTGACGAAACGCTAATTAGCATAATAATGTGTGTTTAGAAAACAAAGGAAAATCACTGGCGACGCGCACTGGGCGGGCCCGTGCAGTCATGCGTTTTTACAGTATTTCGTGCTGTAATAAGATCACTCGAAACTCCGCTAGCTAGAAACCTCTAACATACTGGACCTCGAATTCCGGAAAATTAATTGTCCACGCTATACTTGGACAGGAAACATTTCCTTGAAATCTTATGTTCCCAGCTTTCTCAGTTTCCGAGTTACCCAAATTCCAGTCAGAAAATTTCACGGGGCCCTACGTGGCAATCACACGTGACTGGAGGCTGGATTTGATAAATTTAAGTAGTAGATGAATTGGAAACATTGCCTGAAAGTTTCAGCCTTCCAGCCTCCCTGGCTCCGGAGTTATCCATTTTCCAGCCAAAAATTTTCACGGGGCCGTACATAATAATCACGTGTAACGGGGAGGGGGAGCTGAATTTGATAAATTTAAGATGTAATGAACTGGGAACGTTCGCTGAAAGTTTCAGCTCCCCATCTTTCTTGGTTTCCGAGCTAGCGATTTTCGCGCCAGGAACCATCATGGGGAACTGAGAACCCCAGAAGCTGAATTTAAAATCTTTGAGTTCCACATGGACGGGGAACATAATCCCAAAATTTCAGCTTTCTAGCTTTTCTGGCTCCCAAGTTAGCGATCTTCCCGCAAAACTTTGAGGCGCTCGTACACGGGGTCTAGATGTGCGTAAGGATTCGTATCGCGGTTCTGGGGTGGCACCTGGCCGGGAAACCCATTCGCAAAATTTTGGCGCCGGAGCTTGCTTGGGTGCCGAGTTGAAACACCTGGAGAGACGCACACATATATACACACACACACACACACACACTCGCACACGGGGTCGTCGCAGTATGCGTTTTCGCATTTGTATATATGCAAAAACGCATAAAAAGTGAGCAGTGGTACAATAGTAATATTCTTTACTTACACCTTCTGTATACTGCAAAAAGGTCATTATGGCAAGCATTTTTTCTTGGTTTTTTAATGATCAGGCAATGAATAATCCTGGTTATTTTTTCTAATTTAAAAAAAAATTTTTAGAAAAAAAAAGGTTTCTTTTTTAAAGTTTTAGCACCAATGCGAAAAGGGTAACTGAAGAAACCATGCACAAGAGGAATTTAGGAAACTATCATCAGACCAAAATGGAATTTCCATCGAGGATTTCATCGACAGAAAAAATGTACCATTTCAGTAATAATCCTTGAAACACATTTCGACCCAGTGAGAGGGAGCTCACATTCGCTCAGTATTTTTGGTTTCCCATTCGAAGTGTGCTCCATTGTAGCGATTACTTTCGCTCCAGGAGCACTGACCAGGTCCATTGCACCGCCCATTCCTTTCATCAGTTTACCCTAAAACATATCATTTTTATGTATTTTTGAACAAATTCAGTTCATGTTTCTTTGTACGCCCTTGCTTGTGCTATTTCTGTTACACTATTTAACAGCAAAACTCTTCAAGCTAGGATGTACTAACACTGAAGACAGTTTCAATTTATGCTCGAATCGAAAAACGCTGTGCCACCCAGCATCTTATGACATTCATTTGCCGTTAGAACCAATCGCTATTTCCCTCACGGGACACAAATGGTAATGAAGTAGGATATGTATGGGGAAAATCTAAAGATGTAGGATTCATAAAAGTTTGATTATACAAAGTCGGAGAATTAAAATTATTATTTAGATAATCAGTGAACTGATTAGCAACAGAATGTCTTCTAGCGGTACCACATCTTCCTAGAATCTGTTAGCGCAAACATAGAACTGGATTACCGCCAGTTATTATGACCGAAAATCATCAGAATTTCTAACTCCCACCATGCTTTTTCCAAATCGCCCCTGTCCGATCCCACTTGCTCGACTACTTCGGCACAGATTCATCAGTGTGTTATGAGTTTTCTGCTTCGCCAGCAAAAAATGGCATTGCTCTGGTTGCGAGATTCAATTGTGACACTGAGCTAGGACGATCATAGCTTACTGTACCGAAATTTTTATCTTAGTACTTGTCTTTCCTCTTATTTCCATCTCCTTGTTTTATCTCGCTCGTTCTTGCACTATCTGTAATCGCTCCTGAACGTGTTGGTGTTCAGGAGAGATTGTTTATGGCTGAGAGCCGCGTACGCTTGCGGAATGAGTTCGAAAATCTTGGTTCCTATAAATCGCATGTTTTCAAAAAATTAATAATTTATTTTCAGAACCAGGAAGAGATTCATGAGTAAGAAACACATGCAAGGAATGCTTTGCACGAGTATTCTTTAAACGCACCGGAATGAGCCAGTTGGCTATATCACCATACTGAGAGACTTGAAAAGCTCCAAGTAGCGTTAAGTCGATGTGTCCACCGCGAACCATCGCAAACGATTCGTCACTGCTAAACACAGATGCACCAGGCAGAAGCGTTATTGCTTCTTTTCCCGCATTCGTGAGATCCGGATCTTCCTCGCCTTTTTGTGGGTATGGCCCCTGCAGTGCAGAATACTACAAGAAAATGTAAAAAATCACACAACTAAAACAACGAAAATGTCTGAGCAATTTGCCTATTATTGCGCGGCAGTAAGATGGAAGTTTTTTCTGTAACAATTTATTAAAATTTATTGGCTTGTGACAAATTACTTTGTCTTCAATCATCAAAAATTTCTGTCCAAAATAATGTTGTTCAAAAAATGATCAATGAAGAGCAGTTAATGGCATTAAAGCAAAAAAATAACCCGGTGGAAGCACGTTAAAATAGTCCCACAGAAACTTAAGCATACATGTGTTTTTTAGATACATAAGTATGTTAAACGGACTGATGTATCAGCTATACGATGTGTTGATAACACAACCTCAGTATCTATTAGAATAAAAGAATAATTTTCGGAATAGTTTAATGAAATAACTAAGTGCAAACAACACGCTTTCGATACAACGAAATAGGAAGAGCAGTATGGGCCGCAGAGGCCCTACCGGGAACTAATCATTACAAATAGGGATGTCCGTGCAGAGCTGGACGACGCTTTGCAATGGAAGGCACAGAATCGTAAAAGACAGCGTACAATTTGGCGGTCAAAAACTCCTTATGCAGTCGCAGAAATCAGGAGTCGTTACATTAACTTAAGGGAATAAGGGTGTGGTGAACAGGCAGAAACGGGTGTAGGTGTAAAACAATGGCTGAAGGACTTTGAACAGCCCGTGTACAAGGTAGCAAACGCCAGCCAATACAAGCCGGGATAAAAAGTGAAAAATAGGCCAGCAAAATCAAGAAATAGATATATTAACGCAGACTAGAACGCACCAGGCTTGCCGGTGCGATCATTCGTTTTTGCACTGAACTCGCGAGTCGAGCTAATAGCAAGAATAATCCCTGCGCTGCAGCCAAACACTTGGGCTCATATTGTCGGTGCTTTGGCTTCTTCCGGCATGTAGCAGAATGAGCATCGGTAGGGATGAGGTGTTGCATTATAGAGCCGCATGGACCTCCAGGTACATAATTACCAGTTTTTTGCGTGAAGTTCTGTCGTTTTTTCGGTAAATGCTCACTTTTTGAAAAAATGAACCCAGGTTGGAACGCACCAGGCGAATTTTTGAATTTTGAATTCAGACGCGAATTTTTTGAAAAAAAAAAATGCAAATTTCCATTTCACTAAAAACTGGAAGTATTGCTCGAGCGGTCGTTTTTCAGAAAATCCAAGTATGCAAATGAACTAATGTTCATTTAAATATTTGGATAAGGGCGGTCGTTCGCTGCAAAACGCATTCGTCCCCGATTTTACTATAAATTTGAGTATTTCTCCCGCCCATCTGCAGCGGATTTCACCTCCACGCAGAATTAAGACCGCACTTGAAAGCAGAATACTCCAGCGGATTTTCAGCCTTGCAGTTTATCCGGTGAACGAAATATCCACTTCGTTACAAATATCTTTGAAGTGCCATGAGTTGTGTCGCAGATGCAAGTCGGCACTCATTTTAGGTATACGATTTCCCATTTGGGCGACAAATATGGTGACAAAATTTCAGTCACTGTCTTTCGGCAAGTTTTCGAGTTAGCGCAATACCAAGTTGCAAACTTTGACGTGATCGTCCGCGACTGCTGATTTTGAAATTTTTAGCTCGAACATGCACAGAGAATATTCTAAGAATATTCTTGCAAAGTTTCAGCTTTGTACCTTGCCTAGTTCGCAAAATCGTTTCTCGCCAAAGAAATTTGCATATCTTTTTTGAGAGGAGGGAAGTCCGTACGCGGGGTCTAGGCGAGTGTGGAGGAAGATCTTGAAACGGGAGGGTAACACATGGGGTTTAAACATATACCCAAAGCTCCAACCTTCCAGCTTTCCTGATTGTTGAGATGAAAGTGGGTGACTAAATGCACTCGTTTCTCAACACACATACAGCCTCCCAGCAGCACGCGTTTTTGCTGGCTGTAGCAGCGCTATTTTGAAACGGGAGGGCTGCTACAGCCAGCAAAAACGCATGTTGTCGAGGGCTGCGTGTGTGTGTGTGTGTGTGTGTGTGCACAGCAAAAACGCATAAAAAGGAAAGATCAAATTAAAATAAGGTAGACAAGATAGTTGAGTAGCCAAAGTGCATAAACCGTGTGTCATGTAGAAAGATCATGCAGAAAGGGGTATGCAAAAAGAAAACCTAAAGCGAAACTCTGCCCGTATTCACGCTTTATGAGAGCCGGAGGCCCTCGAAAGTAACCCAGGTGATCGTACCTACAGCAGTCACTCTATGGCAAGGCTCTCAGTGGCTTCCTTTTTTGAGGGTTTCTTAGAAGCAGAGTTCCCAGTGACATCACTGATATGGGATGCATCTCACGCCGGGCTCAAATAAATGTGCCAATCGAATCTGGGTTTCATATCTCAATTTAGCGCCCACTGCATGCAACCGTTTTCCCGAGTGGCAGTTCACCCTCTTGTGGATATTACTTACTAATAAGTCACATCTATCGTTTCTCAGCAAGACAAGCTAGACCATCACATTGAGAAATGTACGCAAATTTTCAAAAACAATAAATGTTAAACAAACCGCTCCAATGACTCCATTTTCACCGTGCAGATGTACAATGATACCGGCTGGAATGTAATTAGAACAAAGTGTCGGGATACCAATGCCCAAATTTACTAAATTCATTTTAATTATTTGTTGAATACCACTGCAAATTCTAAAAAAGCGAATCGGCTATCCCAAAAATTTTGATGAATTTTTCATATATTTTTGCTTTTGCACGCTTCTGCAATAATATTTATTCAATTTATGGTTCATGCCATCAAACCTACATGTTTTGGAAGCCCATTGCATCAAAATCCAAGGTCTTTTTCGTGCTAAATATTTTGAAACAAGCATTTTCTTAAAAACCTCAAGTTCCTCATTTTGAACCATCAAATTTTATCATTCCTAATTACTGGTGATATTTTAATCAAATCTCCTAGACAGCTGCGTGCTTCATTAAATTTTCGATTTCGCCACTCACACTGCCGATTCTTTTATTCCAATGGTAAGTTTGTACTGGCGCTTGTCAGGAAGCAATTGTCCAGTTCACTTCAAATATACTCACTACGTAAAAGTTCCAAACTTGGCGAAAGCAAAAGATTTAAATCTAAAAAGAAAAATCATATCCTCAGAACCTCACTTTGAAGTTTTCAATTTTTTGAGCTATAAAATTGACTTATTTAGAACGGAATCTGAGTTTTCAGTTTTAAAGCTCTTTTTTTGTATTTACTGAAATCAGCTAAAAACACACGAACACGAAAGACTGGTATGAAATCTCTTGACCTAACACGATTGTGGGTGGCAGTTTACAGCATTCCGTAGCACTTATATTAAAACTTGAAAATTTCTTGAAATTATCTTCCAGAGTTACAACCTAGAAAAAAATTATTATTCTATAAAATAGACGAACCATACATGCCATCTCTGAACTCCAGAGCAGCTCTGCTAGCAATAATGTCACGATTTGTTCGCAGTTCCGCTTCCCTTGAGCCGTTTTCCTTTCTGTATATTAACCGTTCAATAGGTTTCAAGTAGTTTTTTCCTCGAATCAGTCGATGGCAGTAAATAGATGGAATGTGAATCTGAAACAGTGAATTTCGGAAACACGTGCACGTTGGAGAACCAATCACTCTACCATCCGTTCACTCGTATCGATGGTAAATTGGTACTTATATATGCCAGGCAGTCAACCAGCCATTAGCTTGCTTCAAAGTAGTCGTCGGATGTGGGAGAACCTCGCAAGTAAGTGGTTGCTGTTTGGTACATGCTACAGCTCGGACTACTTCCGTGGTGCCTTAGCTTCTCCCAGAGAGCGAATACGGAAGACGGTTTGCCTTGAGGTTTTGGCATACTTTCAAACAAATGCAAACACATATTACACTATCTGGATGCAGTTCTCCTGGTTCAACGATCTCTTCCGCTTCCACAATAGTTACTTTTGCTGCCTTGCACATTGGCGCATTGAAATTCGTCGCAGTTCTCCTAAACTTTTCACGTGAATGTTTATTTTTTAGCACTTCAAATTCCTCTTAGTAGCAAAATTATTCTTGTCAAATTCTAAACCTGAAAACAACATTTCCCAGTCTATCCGCCTTCCAGGCTTTGATCAGTGCAAAATCGCCCTTTATTGCCTCCTCGAGAACGTAGCTGGTACCATTAAATATTCGAATCTAAAGGTTGAAAAGTAAGTATAAGCAGTTTTGCGAGCTTTGAAACGAAGTTAAACTAATTTTGAAGTTTGAACCGCTGTCAAAATTTAAGCTTCTAACTTCCTTCGGTTTGCTTCTTTTAACGATATTTCCATTGTGATCATATTTCATTGGTGATCCACCAAGATGTACCCAGGTGCCGTAGCCTGTAGGCGTGTAAAATGCCGGGATCCCTGCTCCTGCTGCTCGAATTCGTTCTGCTAATGAGCCCTTCAAAAGGAAACCATACACAAATTTAGTTTGAATTGCTAAGAATAGCTAATGTAAATTGAAAAAACAACAAGAGAAGGTTTTGATCAGGGAAGTTGCATTTCTTCAAAAGTTACAAATTTTTAAAAAAGTAATTATCTATTCAGCAAATTTTCAACAGTTTTATTCCTCAAAAAATAGTTACTCGATGAAGAACTAATTTACAACCTGCTCATCAAAAAACCAAAAACTTTTCAAGATATCCTTTCAAAAAAAATTTTTTCTGGCTACCCCGCAGCTGAGATAAAAATAGCGACGCACATCAGGGTATCTGGTGTGATCATGCGTTTTGCGCAGTTTCATCCAGCGAAGGTTTGCCGCACGTGGCACGAAGGCACGCGAAAATGCTGAGTTCAGATTTGCTCCAGCTCTTACTTAGGCAGGAGGCATTACCTTAAAATTTCAGCCACGTGGATTTTGCGGTTCCCGAGACAAGAATTCTTTCCCGCTAACAAGTGATAACCAAGCGCACAAGAAGGCAGAATTGAAATTTATGGGATGGTGCAGGACCCTAAAATTTCGGCTTCATGACTTCCGTAGTTTCCGAAAAAACAATTTTCCCCACCAAAACTTTAGCGGAGCTGTATGTAGTGCCTGCAGGTACGCGAAGGCTGAATTTGAATTTTCGGGTCGCACGTGCGCGGGAAGGATCTACTAAAATTTCAGCTTCCTAACTTCTGTGGCTACCGAGATGAAAATACGGGACAAAACGCACTCTGACACACACACACACACACACACACACACATACACACATACACACAGATAAGAGCATGATTGATGCATAACGCAAAACGCACAAAAATACTGCACAAGCCAAACAAATTTTGTGAAAAAATAAAGCCGATAATTATCGAAAGTTTTATTTGGTTACAAAATTTTAACTTTAGGCCGGTCAATCAACTGACTGGTATACTGCAAAAGGTTTTAATGAATATGGCAGTTGTTACGGTTTTAAGATATCTTGCAGACAACAGATTCGTCAAGTAATTTGGGAGGAAAAAGTATGGACAAAAAATGTTGACGTTCAACATACATCATTGAACCTCCAAATAGTTAAAGCCTTGCCAAAGTGCTGCTGTCGGAAGAGCCACTGCTTCGGTAATCCTTTCTTCAAACGAAAGTCAGTATCGCCAAAAAGCTGACCAACAGGTAATTCAGATTTGGTTAAGACAACCATGAAGTGAAAAAGAAAGAAAACAGCATGTTTGTCAATTATAGTATACCATTAATGGATCAGTGATAAACTAATAACCGTATTAAGCTTCAACAAACAAGCACCTGAGGGACGTATTCAACCTCGATTTCACCATGAAGGAACTGCCGGAAAATTTCGTCGTTTTCTCCAATATATGAAGTTATGACTTTCCTGACCTGAAAGCCAGCTAAAATACTCTAATATGGGAAATGTTAATCTCGCTGTTTCAGAAATAATTCACATATCCGCACCTGTTTGTCCTGTAGCAGGAGTCCAAGACCAAAATTATCTGTTCCAGTGTCGTTTGTCACGCAAGTGAGGTTTTTCACCCGTTTTTGTTTCAAACTATCAATCAGATTTTCCGCTCGTCCACACGGGCCAAAACCTACAAAGCTTTCATCAAGATGTTTAGAAGCAAACGTTCTAAAAAATTTTATCGCTTTTACACCAGCTGACTTCATCAAAATGACAATTTTTGTGATTTTAACGGAAGCCTTACCTCCAAGCAGAATTGTAGCACCATCACTGATATCCTGGATAGCATCGTCAGCGGACGGATAAATCTTAACACTTCGGCTTGCCGACGTAAATATTGTTGCCTTTGGGCACTGCTGAACTTTTCAAGAAAATTTATTCTAAATGTCCTTTCGGTATGTGTTAAAAAGTTTACAATACATATGCTAAAATTGTAGATCTTGGGATCTAGAGCCAAGAAGAAATGAGAATGAAATTCCGCCTTTAGTAAAAGAGCTAAAGTGAAGTTGCATCCCGTAATACTAGAGCTAGGATGAAATGTCATCTCAAAAAAAACAAATCAGCAAACCGCGTTACACGGTAGTGTAGTAAAAATTTACTGTCCTTAAATACACTCATGACCAAAATATCCTGGATTTTTCAAAGAGCAATCCAACATTTGATTGAAAATGGAGCGTCGGCGGGTGCTGAATCTTGAATTTGAAAAGCAACAGCAATGTCAAATGGGAGTTAGTTTTCAACAGTTCTGGCAAATTTCATACCACAAAAACAGGCAGAGGGTGTTAATAGGTAAGCATACGGAGTTGAAAATGACTTATCTCGAAGCATTGTTTGAAAATCCATTTCACGGCAAATAACTGCTGAGTGCGCAACATGTCGACGTGGCCCTGAAAAAACTGGATTTTCCCTAAATATGCCGCACATTTTCCATGGACATTTTCCTCTCCTTCGCTTTCTTTTTTAGGATGTGAAGAGTGAAATATGGTCGGGCTCACCTCTGCTCTTTACAAAAGATTTATGCTCTTAAAGATCCAAATAAATTGGTCACTGAAAACACCAGAATCTATGTACGCGTAGCCAAAAAATCGGTAAACAACAGTACTTGTGTTGATTTCCGCAAACTAGAAATTTAATAATACGCAGTCTGAAGCAATTAATCGTCCCTTGTTCTCCTATACTAATACCGTTTGTACCATTGTCAAGGAAAGGATGACATGTAAGAGCAAAAACTGCCAAAACTTGTTATCAGTGCTATTTCAAACACTTCTGTTTTTCTCAGCTATCTAAAAGAAAACGAGAAAAAAAATGTAAATGGAAAGTTGAAAAGATAGACAGGCCGCACTGCCAAGATAAATTGGTGAGAACAGCGAGAACAGAGTTCTAAGGAGCGATGGAGTGCTTGAATGAAAAAAATTGTTGTTCGCAGAGCAAGGAGCCAGAGAGAGTTTCTTGTAATTTTTTTTCGAAATGGAAGTTTGAAATGTATTGACAGTAGAAATTAACAAGTGGGCGAAGTAAAACATATAATTTGTTTTTTAAGAACCTACTTACTTTACACTCTTATTTCCGTTTTTTTGCCTCTTCCAAATTTCCCCTTCACTTACTCGAATTTTAGTTAATTTCTATTTACTGCGCCATAGCCGCCATACCAATAAGGTTCACTTTTGATACCAAAGCGGCTCAGTTTTTGTAAGCATTTGCGAAAAGATAAATTGGTAGATAAAAAGATAAATTTGCTTAACTGTTGCGGCTAGAGTATACAGACTTGATGGGTCAAAATGCGTTGACTCGTTCTTTTCTTAGTTTTTTAAACCTCCGGCCTACATTTTCTTCTCGCCCCTTTCGGCTCTACCATGGCATATTGCTTGCAAGTAGTCAAAAGACCGAAACTTTCCTCTTCAGAATTATTTTATTTGTCATAAATGAAGTCTTCTCCATTTTTTGTCGGCAGAATGAACAGATATGAAGTAGTTTCTTATTAACATATTATCCTATCTCTTTTTCTTAATTATGTATGTATAACTAAAAACTTTTTTCGAAATAAACTGATATTACGTTTTAGTCCGTATCATTCTCTTACTCATTTTTGCTTTGCACCCACACAAAAGCTCCTCTCTAGAAAAGCAGCTAAAATGCTTCCTATGAGAATTTCACAAAGTTTTTTCCGTTAATAAATATTTAAAAGACGTTTGAAAACCTTAAGAAAAAAGGCAATGAAATTAGAAAGAAGTAAATTGCATCTTGAAAAAGACAGTGACAATTCTCGGATGAATACTGATTAAGCACTCTACCACTGCCTTCTACCTTCTCTCTAAATGATAACAGGCGGCTACATTTGGAATTCTGTGACCATCTTCTCGACATTATGTGCCGATATTGTGCTGTGCACTATCAAGTCTGTTTGCTAACACTCCCATGTCATTGTTTGTTTTTTCTTAATCATTTTGCTACTCTGTGGTGCATCTTAAGACAGTATAGCCTGAGATACTGTGAATTTTAGCCAACAGGTGGGCAAAATTCTAAGCACCGAGGCTTATGGCCACTTACCTAAACAGATTTCTCAACCCTAACATTCGGGCGTGAAGTTGTTGTTCAAGGGTTCACGGTTCTGAAAGTTGGTTTTGCTCATTTTACCCCAAATGTGCTAATTATTGAAAGGATTAACATCGGATAAAGCATTTAATCCAGGCTGGAACGCACCAGGCGAGCCAGTGCGATCATGCGTTTTTGCACCAAACTTGAACTAATTAGGTTAACTGCATGAACGGTTGTTTCTT